AATTCCATATACCCACTAAACAATTGTTGTGTGTTGTTTCAGTCGAATTAAACGTCACAATGGAATGAAAAAAAAAGAGACAAAAAGAGTTATGCATAATATTCCCTATGAATTGAAATCAATATGTTAATTAAAATGAATGGGGTAGAATAAAAATGGCAAAGGGTAAACGTGTGTCAAAAATGGGAAATTGGCTGTCAAAAATGGGGAATTAACCCCCAAAAATGGGGAATTGGTTGTCAAAAATGGAAAATTTGGCTGTCAAAAGTGGGAAAATGTGGTTGTCAAAAATGGGGAAATTACCGCCCAAAAATGGGGATTTTGCTGCCAAAAACGGGGAGTCCTGCCAAAAATTAGGAATTTGCTGTCAAATATGGGGAACTGAATGTCAAAAATGAGGAATTGGCTGTCAAAAATGGGGAATTGGCTGTCGATAAAAAAATACGAGAGATAAACACAATAAGGGAAGATTATATAAACGCCATCTGATATTAACCGGCGAGCAGATGGAACTAAGTAACTAATTGATAGCCCTAGCGGGGGAAAAATATGAAACAACGAAATGAAGAAAAGACAAAAAACCATAAGAAAGATAATGTAATTAAAGTATCAAATTTCATCGAATAATATTACTTTTTCTTACTTTCAAGAAATTTTTACACATTTTTTTCGTTTTTTTTTTTATCGACGCATTTTTGACAGCCAATTCCCCATTTTTGGGAGGCAATTTCCCTATTTTTGGGGGTCAATTCCCCATTTTTGTCAGCAAATTTCCCATTCTTATACACCAAAAACATTTTACCAATAAAAACTACTTCTCGAAAAATTGGTATTTGAAAACGAAACTTAAAAAAAAATTCAATAAAAAGTGAAGCATTTTTTTTTTTGGTCCAATTGAAGTGAACCAAATTTTTTTTAATGAGAATTTATGCAACATAAATTATTCGCATAAACTGTTTTTGTATTGTTTCAAAAAATTCTGTTTTGATAAATGACGTTTTCTGTAAATCAAATGTTCGGTTCCTTCATTAAAACTGACAAGACAATTGCTCTATGTTGAATCTCAATTTTACCCATCATTTTCGAAATGATAACATATAAAATAAAACAATCGTCACATTCATCAATTGAAAATTTAAAAAACTCAATAAAAAATTCCAGAAATTAGCCCCAACTCCCAATACAAATTTACTTTATCACAACTACTAATAAAAATATTCATTAAACTACCAAATATTGCGTTAATAAAGTAAATAAAGAAGTACATGTATTAACTGGAGTTATAGCGCCATCTGCCATCTCAGTTTCCAAATTCGGTAAAATTCAATTAACAGTCCGAAAAATTTCAGTGGAGTTTGGATAAATCTATGTAAGGAATTAGGAAATGGAATAAAATTTACGGACATCGATTAAATTCAAAGTTAGAGTAGCATTAAGAAATGTCAAAGTTAGAGTAGTTTTAGGCGAGATAATTGACTTTTTTTATTCAATTACAAGCATTCGTAAAGAAATTTTATTCATTTCTTGACATTGTTTTCTTATGTTTGTCAACCGAAAAACAATTGAAAATTGTCAAAAAAATCGATCAAAATGAAATTCATTGTTTTTTTTTTCGCTTTAGTTGCTGAACTTCTGTTTTAATTTCCAAGAAAATTTCCAAGCAAGTTTATTCATCAATTATTCAAGTTCTATTTTAGTCAATTTGAAAGCATTGGATGTTTCCACGGGATAAACAAAATGCAGTGTATTCTCTTTGCTTGTGGCTAACTTCACATCGTTTATCATGCAACAGTTCATGACATGAACTGTCAGTATTTTTGCATATTAATAAGCAAATTTTCTTCTTGATCAAAATACTGATTGCATGTATTTTATTGGACGTACAATAATATCAAACGATTTATCATTCTTTTCTTTTGTGGTGGCGAAAAGTGAATGAAAGAGAAGAACACGCAACAATGATGGATGATTTTCATGGTATCCGAATAGATCCATAAATTTTTAATGCTCTCTCTGATTTCAAACCATCAAATGGTAAGAAAAATGGAAAGTAAATTCGTAAATTTGCATTTGTGCATTCGTAAATTTCTCAAAGAAAATGACATTGATCAAGCATTTTCGTTGATGCGGTAGCAACGGCATCAACACAAATGATCGTTGTCCATAAGAAAATACATGACAAGCATGTTCGTTGACGCGCAAATCGTTTGAATTGCCTATATTAAGGCTTAAACATCATCTATAGTTAAAAAGTAAGTATAATATTGTCAATATGAAATAATATTCAAATTTGTAATCTTTCATTTGATTTCATTGATGTCAAATTAAAACTTTTAAAGGTTCCAAATTCTAGGAATAACGCATAGATTTTAAATAAGTTCCAGTCAAGAATTTAGGATCTCCGTGATGTATATTCAAGTTTTTCGAGTCTCCTATTCGCTTCTCATTAAATATTCAATATTCTGTATTTTTTAAATGTCAAGCAATCTGCATCTCTTCTTGCTGTTTCTAATGTCTTTGTTTAAAAACTCTTCTATGCTGAGTCTAATGAATTTAGTTTAAATTAAAACTGGTTTATTCTTTTTAATCGTTTTTTTTTCATTTTATTTATTGTGATTTTTTGTGATTTCTATCCTTATTCTTTACATTTCGAATATATTTCCAACGTATGGTTCATTGTATCATATTTGCATTACATCAATGGCTGTAAGCTATGCTGTAAGTTTAGAGATAGACAAGTATTATGAATATGTATGTAATACGATGGAGTGGTGTTTTTTCTTCTTAATTTAACATGACCATCTGCTTAAATACGCTATCTTGGTCTCAGAAGCAGTCAAGTAATATCATTCGTGCGTTTTTGAATTTTAGCATTATCAATTTTAAAAAATTACATTCGAACATTTCGAAAAACTAAATCAATTACGTAATTTTAGATTGAACCACAAAACCCGTTATAGCATACAGTTTTTTTTGTTATGATACTGTCAATCGATTAGATCGATGATCGGCGTTTTCTGTTTTGAACTTTCATCATCAATTGTAATCAGTATTTGATCGACTACTGTTTTAAATAAAATAAACTAATTGATACACATTGTATGTTCTCTGGTACATTTTTTATGCATTAATATTCATATTAATCCAAACATATAAGTTAAATTGAGAAATTCACTTCACAAAGGTCAAACGATAAATTAAAATCAACTTCGCTATGTACTCAATCGTTTGGTGGCATTTAATTTAGCTGTTTGTTTAGCAGACATGCCATACAAGTTTATTCAAATGTGGCAAAATACTTTAAAAACAAAAAATTTTTTTGAAGGAATATTTACCTTTTTCTATCAGCTGTGCATACGTACGAGCCATTTTCAAAGTTGAATACTCTCATAAATGAATAGAATACAATATACTGATGGTCAAATCGTGTTGATCATCCAATGTGGACATTATGTCAAGATGATGTATGTCAAATTCAAGTATTGATCACTGTACGTTTGTAAAATGAATGAAATAAAGATCATTTGAAATTGAATATCTCATAATGGTGTCCTTGTTTCATTGGACATTTCAGTTATTATTTAAAATCGATAAAAGATGAATTGAATTTCATCTTTCTATCTCCTTCTTTGTATCTCTCCTTATTAATTCAACTGTCAACTTTGGCGGTGATTTTGACATTTTGTTACACTAATACATATCCTATTTCATTCTTTATATGCCTTTTTTTGCTGTTGCCAAATGACATCAACAAAATTGATATACGAAGATGAATGCAAAAAAAGGTAAAAACAAATTATAAAAGAGAATAATTTGTCGGTAACGATGTTATAGAAGATGAGAAAAGAAGCATGCGATTTTAATAGTTAGGTCTGGAGCATCGATCGAGAATAAAAATGTAAATTAGCAGTCTTCTATATATTGTAACATTTTTGAGAGAAAGAGAGAAAAAAAAATTGTCTGGAGCCAGAGATTATTTTGTTCCCCAAAAATTGTTGTGTTCAACATTGAATTAGACGATAAATTAATTTGACGTAATTTTGTTCTTTTATAACTGATTTTTATTCAAATTATTTCATTAATCTAAATCTTAAATTAAAACTTCAATCCAATCCACATAAGTAGGAAACTTAAAACTATGTGCATACAAAATATTCTTTGCCGATCGATCATTGATTGATCCAGCAAACGGTCTATTTGTAATTTCCTCAACATGTTTATTTAATTAATAAAAATTATATTATGATTAACATTATGGTTTATAATAATCAAAGTCCTAAACATTCCAAAAAAAATGTTCCAATTGATAAGTTGTGTTTTGTATTGTTATTGAGTTTATTTGTCTCATCAAATGAAAACGATAATTGATATCAACTAAAACATAAATCGAATTGAAAAAAAAAGAAGAAATTTAAAATGACCAAAAAGAAAAAAACACACAAAACTTTCGAGTATTTATTGTTGATTCAACTAAAATAACTGTTGCGACTATTAATGTTGTTGATGTATAAGTACGAATGTGTTCTACATTTCAACAGTTTATCACAGAATACTTAATAATCGCACATGATTTTAACCATTTTGGCGATCGACACCACGTCTGACTTCTTAATTCGATGTGATATTGGCACATCGATTATTATTGATAAAATACGCCGTTATAGAAAGACCGCTTTTAATTGAATATGTAGTTAAACTTTTGATGAAATCATCCAAATAAACAAAAGATATATCTGTCTGTTCGCAAAAATTTACAATTTAAATTGACTTTGATCATTTTGAATAAAAAAAATTGCAATAATTTTCTCAAATGTCATCGTATCATTGAAATTTGTGCGGGGGATCATTCAAAATATACAAACAAGGAACATATATATAAAAAATTCAACTCATTCAAACATTAAATCATTCCAAATGAATATTGGCGTAAATTTTTCAAATAAAATTATCAAATTTTTATCTTTCAGCGATTTGAATTCTTTTTTTCTTCTTCTTCTCTCATTTGCATTGAATTTTTTATTCATTTATTTCTCATATAAAATCAAAAACATTTTCCAGACATGTATCTAAATAAAAAAAAGTGTAAAAAATGGCAGTAAACATAAAATCTTCCGGGACTTTTTACTTATTTAAAGGCTGGAAAATACATTTTTCATTGAAATTCCTTTACTTAGTGGAAGAACTTACTTAAATACAAAGACTTGAATGAACTCCACGTTCATCGGGAACAAACTGATAAGGTCAAAAGACACATTCGCGTTTACCTTTTATGTTATTACGAATGTTGCATTAAACGTTTCGTCTTGCCAAATTTCGAAGATCTTGACGATTAATTCCGAAAAAATTTGGATTAAATTCGGATGGATAATCTATTCGTAAAAAAAAAAATTAAATGTTCAATAAATTGATTGGGATTTTCGGTTTGTCAAGTAACTCACCCAAACCGCTTTCCATGCTGCGAGCATGCCACATCATTTGCTGATAATTTCGTCTGGGCATCGGACATTGCTTTTGTTGTGTAAACTGTTGCTGATTAATCGGATATTGCTGTGTGTAATAAAAGAAATTTATTAAATAAATGTTATGAAACGTATTTGACGATTACTCGTAATCTTGTCGAATGTTGAAAGATCACACTGGTGAAAATGATCCAAAAGAAAAATATAAAAACATTTCGTGTACATCTAATATAATTTCTATTTTTGAAAATCGTTTTTTTTTTTACCTGATAGGATAGATTTGCGGTTGGAGTTGTATAGATCATGGGCTGTTGTAAATAGGCAACTGACATTCTTTTTGGTACAACAATATTTTGATTTTTGTTTGATTTTTTCAATGGAATGACTCGATTGACTTTTTCAATGGAGTAACTTGCACGTGCAGATAGTCCGGCATAATATGGGTCTTCGCTCACTGTTGAAACAAGTGAAGCAATTTTTGAATAGTCGGTATGAAAGAAAGCCTCCTCACAGATATTTTGATATTTACCATGCTTCTTCCGTTCCGATTCCTTCGATTTGCTTCTAAAGAATGACTTCAATTTACTTGTATTATTGTTATTACTACTGTCATTTTCATCATCGTTGTCATAGTCCGGCTGTAAAAAACAAATGCATATTTTAGATGGTTCATTAGGGTGGATTGGTTCATTATAAAGTTGCAGATCACAACTTGTAGTACTGATCATACTATAGTATTCTATAGAGATATATGCAGTATTGTTAACTTTTCCTAGTTTTTTTTAGTAAATTGCATATAACGAAACCACATTAATGTGTTTAAAATATTGTATACAACATATAATAAATCGTCAGCAATTTCGAAAATTAATAATTTTTTTAAAGATATTAGTAAAATGTTTCGTCCATTAATAACAATAATACGTCGAATATGATATACAATTAAAATTAATATTGGAAACAACCAAATAGCATTTTTCGTTACGTTTTTATTAAGGAAATATTTTCTTTAACGTTTACAGATCAAAATATACCGATGCTTCCTCGAGAAACTTCGTTTCCCACCCCACCTTGTATTTTAGAATATGGTGATCTGTCACTGGATACGCTTAAAGTATTGGCAACACACCATAGTATCTACTACCATTCTGTGGCAATTTTGGAACAAGTTATAAATTTCATATTGAAAATAATAAATAAACAAATAATTGAAAAGCGTTCAGTTGAAGTAAGTATAGCGTAGAATACTTTCGATTTTCATGAAAATGAAGCAAAAAAGGGAGAGAAGAATGTAAACTAAGAAGCCATTCATCATCCGGCTGGCTAGACAGGCAGTGTACGTGTAGCTGTGGTTTCGTGCTCATGTTATGCTGTGCTGCTGACATGAATTATAATGTACCGCTTGAATTCAAAACCTGCGAAACGCACTCTCCAATTTAACTGATATATTCTGTTCGTTTGTGACCGAATATACAAAAAGGCGATCAAAAGTTGAGAACAATAAAAAAAAGAATTGGTGCAGCTCATCGCACAATTTCCTTTTTAACAGATATAATGCATTTACTCGAACATATCAAGCGTGGGTAAGCCAACAAATAAACCCATTCGCGCCGTTTTATTTTGCATTTGTTTCTTTTTTCTTAAATTATTATTTTGCAATCAAATTTGAATTTTCATGAAATTTCAAAAATATTTTTATCAATCGTTTAGTCAACCATGTATGCAAAAAAAAACACACAATTTTCAGTGTCCAGTCCGGGATGAACGAGATTTCATAAAAATATAAAAGAAGTTTAATGTAAAAAAATGGAGTGATTGGCGACAAATGGGTTAAAAAATAAGTTTCATTGCAAATGTTAATCATTGATCTCGAAATCAACGTTCAATCGAGGTACGAAAAGCAAGTTTGCTGAGTTTATCAGTGAATAAGAGTCTTACCGTAGGTAATTCATGTGAGTAAATGCTCGTGTCGCGTGGAGGAAGTTGTGGCGGCTTTTCGTTGCTGCCATTACTACTACCGCTGCTGCTGCGTTTTGGTTTCGATTGTAGCTGCTGTTGTTGTGACGTGTTTGCTGTGTAAAACTTTTGATCTCGTTCTCTTTGTGTTGATGCCACTGATGAATGACCTTCAGAAGAAAAGAATAAGAAGAAAATGAAGCAAAGATACAGTCATGTTTCGGTTTTAAGTTAGTTGTTTATACGAAACTATTTTTTTTTTTTTTTTTGATTTTGTATGCATATAAAAAACAAACAAACAAGTAATGAGAAGTAAATTCAATCCAGCTAATGAAATGAAATAAATACAAACATGAAATAAGAAAAAAATAAATAAACTTTTTTAATTAAATTAAATCAACATTTTTTCGAGCTGTCGTCACCGGCTGGCGAACAGGAACACAGAACAAACACAAAACATAACTGCTTTTTGGTTTCGTTACTGTGCTGCATCACTTATATGGTTTCATATAAGAAAAAACGAATCTTGACAAGTAGCCTATTTGAATGCGACATTCTTGCGCTTTTAAGGAGTAATAAAGCATGATTGTTTCACGGAAATTTCTTATTGAAGCGAGTTTGGAGCCAATTAAACTGTGTGATAACAATAATTCACAAATTTGGATGGCAACAATTGGCAAGAATATTCAAAAATATATAAATCACATTTCATTATTATTAATTGAAGAGAAAAAAATATGACTTACCATTACTGTTGCTGCTTCCACTGTATCCTGAACTATCTGAATTTTCGTTGCTCACACAATTACTATTTCCGGCAATGCTATACGGATCCTCATCAGGAATTGGTAATCGTGGTCGACTTTTAACGTTAACCGGACGTTGCACTACATATTGTAAAAAAAGAAGAAAAATAATATTGAATCCACTGTAGAAATGCTTTTTTCTATTCTCTAATATGAATATATTTTATTTTTTTTTTGGTTTTAACAATAGCTTAACAGAGTTTTGGTGAAAATGCGATCACGAAATCAAAAGCAAACATAATGATACTGTATATTGATCGATTGAATGAGATTGTATAGATGAAGTCAAAATTGGCCTTAAGATACGTGCACAATGTACATTGTACATTCAAATCCATGGACAATGTGTAAATAATTCAATAGAGAAAAACAAAACAAGAGAAAAAAAAACAGAATGTGATGTAAATGAAAATGAATTATAGCGCGCACAAAATCAAAATGTTATATCATCTATACGTTTGAAGAGAAAAAAAAGAATATGAAAAAGTAACGTTACACGATTATTGTTGTATTCACGTTTAAATCATATTTAATCAGATGACGATGACGGAAACGATATATAAATCTGTTTCTTATCTATTATAAGGCAAACAATACTGCATTTTCTGTATGACTTGCACAGCAAGCCCACAACCTATATTTTGAATTATAGAATATTGGACAATAGTATAATAGTATATGACGCATGTTTAAGCAATTGAAAAACAATCACACACACACACAAATCGAATGTAAACCAAACTATTATCGTTAAATTTCTACGACATTTTGTTCAACTATGCGAAAGACCATTTACTGCCATTAAGAGTGTTCTTATTATGAACGAAAAAAAAAAACAAACAATCATCAACCAAAATAAATCAACGGCGAAAGCGAAAGTACTAATGTCATGCATCAAATTGAAGTTTATAATTTTTTTTTTTTTTTTTTTTTTTTTATCCAAATGAATAGAATTGGTTAAAATATTTTCTCTTCTATGAACATCACTTTGGTCCACTTTTTGTGCATTTACAAAAAGTTAGTTGATGTGAAAAAAAACAATCATTAAATATGAAATTTTGGACAGTGTAAAAGAGAAAAAGATTATAATTTATATTTTCGGTCGCCTATAATTATTATCGTAAATTGGCATGAAAGACAATGAAGAAAATAAATGTAGTCAAACAAAGGTAATAGCAATAAACTGTTTATAATATCGATAAATTGAGAGAGTATCTTTTAACTATCCACCAATTATTAAACGGAGAAAGAGAAAAAGTTTACGATCGCGAATTTCTATTTTTTTCTACAATACCACTCTCAAGTCATGATGAAAATATATGAATTGGATATATCATCTTTCGTTTCATTCGTCATTGTAACAGAACATTGGTAGTGGGAGCCCTTATCGTTTAGTTTTTACGGTCAATACACGGAAATCGTAAAATTCAAATAATGGAATTGCTCTAAGTACAAAACAATCGGAGACAAAGACAAATATTGCATTTTGAATGGAACTCGATTTTTTACATGTACAATTATAGACAGTCAATCAGCCAAAATATGGATTATGTCTGCTACATTTGTGCCTGCCAGCAAAATTGTGACCAAAATATAGACAGTTATATCTTCAATTTATTTACATAATTCTATTGGTGGTTTGAACTGAATTCATTACGAATGGCACGACCCTTTCCATTACTCTCAATCAAAAATATTGAAAAGCCTCATACAAGCGAAGAAATTCATCTAATGAGCACCAAAGAACGCCTTTGTTTACGGATGATTAAACGTAGAATTATTTTTAAAAAGGGAAAGAAATTACATTGATCTCGATCATGATACGGACAGGTTTTTTTCGGACAGCTCACGCAATTGTCAATAAATTTACATCATCAAATTGGTTTGAAACTTTTGTAATTGGGTGATAGTTGAATGATAGTACGAATTCCATTCCAAAAAAATAAAGCAAGACATTTCCACCAATAAGATAGTGTATCATCCAGGCTGTATAATCATCAAACGCCATTTTGTCGCATTTTTTTTTCATCCAGATTGAAATGAATTGAGAACCAAAAAACCACAAATATTTTGAATTTGATGGCTTTCCGCGTCAAACAGAATCATCATTTCAATTCGATTGGATCGTATCGAATGTGAGAAAATTATCATAGAGTATATGTGATTTTATGCTGAATCTCAAAATATTCACACGAACGTTGATAGCAGCAGAAAAAAAACCGGTGAAAATGTGTTGATTTGATATCGGTTTTACCTCTTCTATTTTCTTTGTTATTGTGGATATCTAAAGGAGGATGAATTCATTCATTGAAACAAGAGCTGCTAATTTGCCTTTTCAAAATAATGTTAGGTGACTTGAGATTGCTACTATTTTATGTGAAAGGCATGAAATGGTATTCAGTAAATTCATTTTGTCAATGGAAATGGTAGATAGATTTCAACAATAACTTTGATTAATTGCCATGAACTGTTACTTTTGATTTGCCTCGTACAAATAAAACGATTACATGTGCAGCACACATTTGCGATGAGTGCAATCATCACTAAACGTTAACGAATGTGTTTATGTGTACCTGACAATGTCTATACAGTTTTTGTTGTTGTTGTTGTTTCACTGTTGAAAAATTGAATTCCTCTTTGTATGCAATGTTGTGAGTGTTCAAAGTAGGAAAGTATAATTGATGACAACGTAATATGTTTGTTATTTCGTTTTTATTATTGTTCATTTCTAATATGCTTCAAGGAAGAGATGTTTTCGATTCAAAAGTCATTTTTGCATCATCCGTTTCGTGACATAAATCGTACGGTGTTTTTATTTTGTTTTAATTTTTTTTTTTTTTTTTTTATCATAATACTCCTAATCGACGGTTTGATGTGATTTATGAAATGCAGAGACAAATTTAATGAGTAGTCCTTATTCCAAGTAGCCAATTTAACGAAAATTATGTGTGATATGTGGTTACATTATGTAACGAATTGTGAACAAAAATTACTTTATGATAAATTACTATTTGGAGCAAAAATTGTTTGCTTGGAGTTTTTTTTTTTTTTGGTTTCTATTGTGTTGTAAAGTTTTTTTACGATGGTTTCTGCTTAGATGTGACTTATAGTCAACACGATCCATGAAAAATTTTGAAAAATGGCTATCTACTATTTGTATGCTTAGCACAAAGAAACGACATAGCATTGTACCAAAGTGAGAAATTAACAGTTTTCTGGCAATTTTCTCATGACCAACTAAATTACAACATACATCTTTAAGGACTGTTATTCACCTTTTGTTTTCACATCTTCACAAGCTTTTGTTCCAATTTTTTGTTTTCAAAACGTCACTCCACATTTTCCATACATATAAATTCAATACATTTCGTGTAAAATTAACCTTGTTAAATGCATAAATGTAAATATTTTCGGCCGTCAAGGTCTTATAAGAAGAGGTATTTCAATTGCACCTGTAACGTTGTGATCGATGACACGACACGATCCAATCCGATTACTTTGTTATTATCTATATTTTTTCAATAATTTTTCCATTTCTATTTGCATAATGCTGGCCTTTTTTGGATTATTTTCAGTTCGCCCATTCATTTTGATTCCAATGAGTCATTTGGATTTTGCGCAAAGTCTAAAAGTGTTTGCTTCATTTTTTTTTCTTTTGGAAAAGATCTTCTTCTAAATCATAAGCACGCTGTTAAGAAGAATGTTCGAACGATACTTACTTGGCGGCATTTTACTTTTTAACATATCCATGGCAACAACATTTATCACGAGCACCCAAATCGGACAGTCCAGTACATCATTGTCGTTGCGTACAAACGATATGGCTGACAAACATTGTAATTCGAGACGTCTTCGATCCGGATATGCTTGCTTCAGTTCACGATTTATATTCGATTGAAATTTTTTCACATCAAACAATTTCGAAATTTTTTCAATTTCCAACGCTTGATTAGGCAATTTCTGGATTTCATTGCCGATGGCCGTCTCATCTTTAGAACTATTTGCGGTACCTTTTATATAAACATTGCTGCGGGAATAGCGACGTATCAAAATGTTACCAGCATCGTCCATTTTAATTTTCACACCCTGCAAATGAAAAGACAACAGCAAAAGGCATTAAAAAAAATTATATATACATATTCGTTCACATGCACTTTCGTTGCAAACGGTCTAAACCTTGAAACGAACATGTAAAATAGATAGATGGTTGATTCCAATTAAATGTTGTTGTTTAATGCGAAGAATGTGAAAACAATATCTACATCTTTCGATTCGTAGCGTAGCATCGAAAACCGATTGCCAAATGAAGTGCGTGCAATGAATTTCCAAGTTGAATAAAAACGTGCGCACAACAAATAAAACACACACACAAACACACACACATTTTAAAATTGTTGTTTGGTAAAAGTCAACTTTGAATCACTTCACTTAAATTGAACTTGACAAAATATCATTCTTCTGTTTTGTTCGTGTGAAATTGATTCCAACAGACCCAAATTGAGACAATTGAATTTACCGAAATTCGAACGCAGTAATACTCAAAACGACATCGCAATAAGCTGCATTGGCATTCAACTTTTGATTTCTATTCGTTGTCTGCTTCAATGCTCTTGGTACGGCGTGTGTATGTGTGTGTGTGTTTCTATCTGTCTATATTACTTTAAGTCTCTAAAATTTTGTTTCACCCAAATTTGAATAAATACGTATGAGCTTATTCGCTTACAATATTCATTTCTATACGTTTTGTTTGTATATTGTGGCGTAAATGGATTTCGTGAACCGCAAATGAATGTCATTTGAATTGCGTAGACTTATTTCTTTTGCTAAAAACCAAAAAGAGCATACATGCAAAAATGGATTTTTATAAGCATGTGACCGAAAGTTTTAAGTTTATTCGTCAGCGCACTCATTGGTGAATTTGTTAAAATGTGAAATTTGCAAGTTGATAAGAAAAGATTAGCACCATTCAACCGAAATATTTGACGATTTCGTCTTTTTTGAAAATTTGATAAAGTTCCGTCTTTTTTAAAAAATTTATGTCTGATTCCCACTTTGAGGAAATTTAATATTTTTGTTCATCTTTTTTTTTCTTTTTGATAAACGTCGGTATCGATTTTCGATATAACATTTTATACGAATTGAAACTTACATATTGGATTTCAATAGTATGCGCTTGAGTTTGTCGTGGGTGTACTTATGTTTGTTCAGTCAAAAATTAATGATAAAAAAAACAATATGCCATCTGGAGTTTTACTTTCCGCACTTCTATACAAGTTTTCTCGGTGTCTATTGATTGCTGATGTGTAGGCAATTCGGATTTTGAATGAAGAAAAAAATGAAAGGCGATGTCTCTTCATTGATATATTTAATAATAATACCTACTCTTACATTTTCAATCAGTATCGGCCTACAATTGCCGATGAGTTGGCACATTTACAAACCAATCAAGTGAATCGACTTTTCATATAATTATTATATTTCACAAATGGTTTTAAAATATATGTACATTAATTATCATCGTATGCGAAAAATAGCATTCATTTAACAGAGAGATAGAAAAAAAATACCAAGCATAAATCAACTGCAATGCGCCTCGCAATTGATTCTGTTGCAAAAAATGTGTAGTCATTTGTAGCAAATATTTACGGAATGTGAAAAATGTGTGTTGTGTTGTTAATACACATTGAAATAGAAGGGTGGTCAGCGCTGAATTGTAGGTGTGATATGACTCTAAAGAAAACAAAATGTATCTACATGAATAAATGGCTATGGCTATTTGGAAAGGAAAACATTCTGAATTTTTGCGCCATATGCAATAAACTGTGCGCATACCATGTGTCAGCAACTGACACATTGTAAAATGTACCGAGTGAAATGTAGTAAGACCATTCCAATATGATGTGAATGAAAGATTTCGGCATAAAATACAAAACACATAATGAAAATGGTCGGGTTAAGTCGCTAATAAATGAAATGAAGTGCATTTGCGTATAGATCTTACGGAGAGCGCATTTTTGTGACCCGAAGAACATTTTACATATATATCTTGTTTCATTTATATGACTTATCTGAACATACATATACATGTATGCATATTTACGTCTGTTGTATATCGGGTTATGAGTACGTTCCATTCATATAGAAGTTTGCCTATTTCTTTTCGGTTGCTAACGGGCTTGTTCTCAATTTGAACCGTCAATAGACCAAAAAGACGGAAATTATATGGAATATGGACCAAACAACCGTGTAAGAAATCTGCCGTCAACGACGAAAAAAAAAAAAATATAGGCAATAAAGACCAAGCTTCAATATAGCCGCAAGAATTCACTAAACTATACCGGCGCACTGAAATTACAATATTTTTGCATATTTACTGCACGAGAACTCACAATAATATTATTTGCTGCGACTTTTCAGCTTGATTTCGATGGCTAATTTGATTGGTTCGTATGAGCGTGGATACTTTTATATGATCAATGACATCGTGCATGAAATAACCGAAACGAAAATGTAAAAAACAAAGAAAATTACAACCAAAAGAAGGAAGACTATAACCAAAACGAAGCTAGAGAAACATGACATACCGTATTATTGAGCATAATCATAAACATAAATCGATGAAATATATCACAGCTGAGACTAACTAAGTAACGCTTATATCTTTAACTAGAGTTGAACGAATGTTTGATATAATATTAGATGGAGTCATGTCTCCCTGGATACGCCTGGCTTGAGACATATATCGTCTCAAGGACGAACCAACTGGGGTGAAACTTTTTCCACCACATTTTTATTAAATATAGATCTTAGAAGAAAAAAACGGATTTATTCGTGATGATATCAGTAAATTAACAGAGTTTCTGTTTTTTATTTCACTTTTTCAGTCAGTCCATTTTCCTTCATTTGGCAACCGAATACTTTTTTCGGCTTTCAAAAGCGATATTTGGAGTTTTCGTTTTTGTAATTAATGGAAGAGCGTAGAGCAAAATGAATAATTTCTTTTAAAAAAATCAATTACCTGACCGATTTGGCGTTTCAGCTCATCGGTTTTTGGACTTCTCATCGGATTTTCAAAACCACATAGTCCAATTCTGAAATAGAAGATAAGCAAAAAAAAAAAAGAATTTAGTTTTTGTTGTAATCACATAATAGAGGAACACAAAGATCCGTATAAACACATGGTCGTATAATATTATGTAAATAAGTTATATTCAAGTTATGATCATCATTGATGACCGATATGTAAGCAGATAGATTTATTTTAACTGAGCAGTTATGAGCATGTCATCACCGTAGTTGGACAGCTAGGTTATATCAAGGTGAATCTTAAAAATCTGGTTTTGGTCCTCAACAAAAACCCGATATGTTAAATTTGATATATTCATCAATTCTTTTGCGCGCTCTCTTTCTCTCTCTCTCCATCCCTCCTTCCTCTGTTTACTAAATTATTATATAATAGATGCAAAAATATCATCAAAAACTCCACACTTCGCAACAATTTGTTGCATTCCAAAAGAATCTGGATGTCATGAAAATAAACTGATGCTTTTGTTCGAAAAAAATTAATATCTCTGTTTGAGGCGTTCAAATGATTTTATCGCTTATGCATCAATTATCTCTTGTTTTTCCTTGTTATTTTCGGACACAGCATCGAGAAGGTCTGAGAGAACAATGAATAGATATCATATAATACGAGTGAAGATGATTTTAAAGCTTAAAAACTTGTTTTAACAGTTAACAAAATATGCAACAGATAAGTGTGTGAACTTTCTTTATTTCGTATTCCATATATCGAATCATGTTTAATCCAACGAACAAAAGAACAGAAAAAAAAACAATGCAAATCCACTCTTTTGACAAATTAAGCACTTGGATATGGTGTAAAATGCAGAGATACCATCAAATTCAATGTTTCTTAGCGCCACGACTTAACAACGATAAGACGATATAGATGGATGGTAAATGTGAAAAATATTAAAAACTTTGGCACATACCATGTATTTTAAAACTAATATGACACATTTTCCGGTTAAAATAGATAAACATGATTCAATCAATGTCCAGACATAATAAATGAACTCCGTAGTAATCGATTTTCTTTCAAAGGTACCACATTACTGTATATTCGTAAGTTGAATGATGTCATGATTAATCAACGTTATTTAGTTTGATTGCAATTTTATTTATTTCTAAAGGTAAGCTTGCTTACAATTCAGTTAACTTATTAAACTACTCAAAGCATATACAATATACATAGATATACATTGTTATTGAAATTGATGGAAACTGGAGCCACGGAGTAATAGATTTTGCATGAATCTTGTTTAGGAATTGACATTACCGTTTCAAAGAAAGAAAAGATTGACGAACGGTTTTAGAGATTGTCGAAACTAACAATTATTTCTAATTGGATTATGTGAATGAATGCCAAAATTGCAAACAATTTGCCGTTATTTAATAGGGTTTGCAATTAAAATGCTGGCTCACTGTCTACAAATCGGGCAATACATTCTTGTTGATGTTTGCCAAATAGTTTATCCGCATAGTTATTATTGGATTCAATCGATTTCTTCATTTTTATCCCGGGATGTCGCGCAATATATATAAATTAAGCGGTTATCGAATGGTGTCCGTTTATGGAAGTACCGGTTTATTCGACCACAACTTTATCACATATACGCTTCATCGATCTTTTTTTTTTAAATAAGTTTTTTTTAATTGATATATCAGGCCAATAAACAGTGGCAGAAATCGACCCGAAAAAATAGAACTATTTCTAAGCCCAAGGGCAATGTCTTGTCTTTTTTCACACAATTATATGGCAAAAAAAGAAGTTAAGCAAAAGATTCAATTCGTTTTATACATCGAATGTAACTTGTATTTATATATGGAAAATCAATTTTAAATGCTTGTCATGTTATCTGTGAATAATTAAAGCCGTCGAGACAAAATAATCATCAAAAAATCAGATCAAAAGAGAAGAACAGTATGAATCAAAGAATGATTTTTAAAAGTGCAAACATTAAATGGAATTAACATTTAACGATTTTTATATATATATGGTCGATGCGCAAGACAGCAAAGCACAAGTGTAAATGGCCACACATTCAAATTTCACACTATGACAACAACAAAGCACCAAACACGCAAGGGATTTTGAAAGGACTTGATGGCTTGGTCTAGTGAATGGACAATTTTATTGTGGCATTTCCTTGATGACCAGACAGTTATATGCGCCAACAAAACGAAAGAAAAAAAATCAAACCGAAGAATAAATCGACACCGGTCATCGTCTGCGTATTTTTCCATTTCACTTTTTATTGCATTATCGTTGTTATTCCCATTCCGTTGTATTGTATAGAACGATGCTTTGTCGACAATATACAACATTGCAAAGCCACCAATAACAAAAACAGCTATGTTAAATCCGAAGACGCGACGAAGAGAAAAGGAACAAGTCGACAAGCTAAAAACGTCTTAATTGCATAAAGAAGTGTGTTGTGATCATATGCAATGGCAGTCGCTACAAAGCCGTATTATTGTCGAGAATCTTGGAAATTAGCACAGACGGGTATGTGATCAAAGTCATTGCGAAAATAAAGATGAAAAAAAAAAACAACATGCATCAATGAAAACAGGAACTGGAGCATAACGTATAGAATGTTGTGATGCAGAACTATGAAAAGAGAAACCCTCAATGACGAGTCGACACAACAAAAGACTGATGAGAATCCACAAACACACACACACACACCAGAGATATCGCAATACAAGAATGAAATACTAAAATGAGAGGATTGAAAACAAACCTAAGCATTCTTTGGCCGTCATATGTTTATTTGGCTCACAAACCAACAATATCGCTCTATGTAGTTCTGCTAACTTAGTAAGCCTTGAGTACAGTTTTTTTGTCAACCACAATTATATCCATTTTTTTACACAATTGTGCTATTCCGTTGAGCCGTTCATGCAACTTTTACGCCAAGTGTGGAACGGTAGCGCAGCTGACTGTTAGATTAATGGGTCTTATGTGCAAACGGTGCAATCAGCTGCAAACCGTGCGATAATCATCGAAAAGTAAAACTTGAACGCAAACTGTAGAGCTAGGCTAAGTGTTTACCGAATGTGACTTCGATTTGTGCGCTGAACGATATTATATCTTTATTACAGTGTTATTTAAAAAAAAAACTCAATTCTATCTGCATTCTATAAGCGCGTGGCGATAAAACTGGAAAAACTGCCATTGCTGCATAGCATGCTTGTTGTACAGGTTTTATTTATCTAATTTTCAGGGTTTTCTGTACTCTGACTCTCTTGTGATATGGTCAACTAACTAGAATGTTGATAAAAAAATTCAGCTAAAATAGATTCTAACAGTGAAAGCTAATTTTATTTAAGAACTAATCACCTTACATGGTATTTTTTGTCTCGAAAAATCGCTCCAAGAAAATTAAATTGGAGTCAATTAGGTTCAGCATATGTTCAAAATAAAATTTCCAAGGCTACACACCATTTACTATTCTAATTTAAAAAACTGGAACTTCTGGACTAGCTATCCGAAATGGATTGCATTGATGGAAATTCATCTTATTATTCAAAGAATATAGATTATTTTTTTGGTATCAAATTTCCTAGCCAATCAACAATTTCTTTGCCCTGATGAGACACAGCAAATGTATTTAGAAACCAAAAACGTTACGTTCAATTAAATATAGTGACATATCAAACAAATTGAATCTAAATTACTCATAGAAACTCAACCTAAGCAATCACAAATAGCATGGAGTAATATTTTATATCGAACATGGAGTGTGGAAAAAAAGAGCTTAACAAATCATTAAACATAGAAATAAGTATATTAAAAAGTAAAAAATTGAAATTGTAAAGGTTTGTGTAGTGATGTGTCGAAATGAAACAAGTTCTGTACAACAAATGTGCCGGGCTTTTGTTCAAAATGTCAACAGCCAACGACCACTTTTCAACAGCCAGGGTACTTTGAGCGAAATTCAATGCAGACTTTTATTTTAATTTGATTGACATACGCGCTGAGATTTGAGCAGGGCGTCGACTTCCCAGAACACAAAAAAAATTGAACATGCTGACTCGGCCAAATGAAAGAGTACAATAAAATACATGACGTCTTCAACAGCAAAACAAACTATCCGCTAATTTCTTGCTACTGAACATTGGCGTTGCAATTAGCTTTAATCAAAAGTATCGCGCAAGTAGTAAATCTTTTTCGCTCACTTCATTTCATTAGAAAGAAATATTGAAACAAAAATCAATTGAATTAAAGAGAATCATCACGTGTTTATCTACCCTATGTCAAGTGTCGTGTTTGTTAATTTGGTATAGATTTTTTTAAGTATACAAATCGAGCAGTTCGTTTGATTATCGAAGAGACACAATGTTTTGGAATATATTGGTATGGTAACATAGTTAAGCTACTAAGATTATTTCTGTATTTTTTAACTGTGGTCAGCGTCGCGGTTTCGGTAATATTTTAAGTTTTAAATCTAAAGGGTGTTTTTTTAGGAGGTTTGTTTTTTAAATTGATATAAATCACATATTTTTTTTTATTTTAATCATGTAAATTGCTGTATTTAGTAGAAAAATCTCTGGAATTTATTATTTGGAAAAGATTTCTGGCATATAGTCACAATGGCCACTTTTTTTCATAGGCCCATTAGCCAGTCCTTTTTTTGTCAATTTTTTGATCATGCTAGATTCTATAATCCTTGAAAAATGGGTTAAAAAAAAAACATTCTGGTACATTTGAAGACATGGTAAACCAGTGAAAGTCCTGAATTCTTCATTTCAAAAAATGACACTTTAGCCGTCGGCATTTTTGAGACATTTTTCTTAAAATTTCTCGTGGTGAATTAAAACATTACGACTATGAATGCCATTATTCATGACTGTTTCCCTCCAAATAATGTCAGTTATCCTCCGGAGCCATTTAAGTTTCGCTTAAACGATCGCTTTGTCGAAATCCTTGATTTTAAAGCAAATTATCACAGGTTGATTGACCGTCTTCTTCATGCTATCTGATGACCCGGAATATTTTTTGTGCAGCAAATTGAAGTGTATGGTCTATGCCGATAAGCTTACAACGATTGAGCACTTCTAAGGCCAATATTCATCGCGTTATTATCGAGTTATTGCCAAAGATGTCCGAAAACATCCGAAAAAGTGGCCAAAAATGGACTGACCAACTGGCCTATGTAAAAAGTGGCCATGGTGACTATATGCCAGAAATCTTTTTTGAAACATAAATGCCAGAGGTTTTTCTACCAATTAAAGCAATTTTCACGATTAAAATAAAAAAAATATATATGATTTATATGAATTTGAAATCCTCAACCTCTTAAAAAAACACCCTTTAGTACCAAACTATTTCCATCCAAACCCATTCAAATATTAATCGAAAATATCTTTGAAATAAGATCACGAGTACTTGAGAAACTGCTGTTATGCTGAAACACACTTGAACATGCTAACATATAAAGGTCACGCATTACGGTTGCGTTTAATACTGATTTAAAAAAATTGATCCACTCTTGTTTTTTCGTTGAGTTCAACCTTAATTAATTATTTGCTTGTAGCATTGGAGTGGAGATCTTTTTTTGCACCAATTGGAGTTCCGGCGTTCTTTTTTAATATTCGCCAATTATGACCCGATATGGTGGAAAAGGCAACGGTTCCGGCCTGCTGTGACAGAATATTGACTTTTTAAATTTCTTTCTGAAAAATCAGATTCATTAACTTTGATATTTATATCAAAGAGCACTCTTTTTGTTCAATGTTCATGTTTTATCGTTCTTTTTATTCACATTTTTCATATATAATCAATAAAATAGACTTCAAACAAATGGAGTCGACAGAAAATTTAATTTGATATAGCTTAACGCGAAAAGACTTACCGCATTCCGTCGAATCCATCATCAGAGTTATTAATAGTTAAGATTGGAGCTCGAGCATATGCTTTGGCAACACGTCGATTACCTTCGAATACAATAAGTTTGGCCCAAATTTCATCATCGATTTGATTCCATTTGTCCAGCACTTCTTGAATATGTTCCTGAAAAAAAATAAAAATTCGTTTTAATATTTTGAATACTTCTAGGAAATCTTATATTTTAAATTGTATTCGATTTCTTTGAATTAGTTTCTAAAATCAAATTACAGTTTTTTTTAACTAGATCTCGTCGTGATATTCTAGGCAATTGATGTGGTTTTTTTTATTCAAGTTTGATAAAATGAATAATGAATTTTGTTTAGGTCGAACTATGATATTTATGCCGAATGAATACATTAGATTCAATTCTAATCAATCGCAATACTCGGTTACAAAAAGCATCAAGTCAACAAATAGAAATATATTTTCTTTTTAGAAACGGTTAAGGTTTTTTTATGTCATCCGTTTTCTATGTCACATTTACTTCTGGCTTCTAGTACAGCGAAAAAATGGGTAATTTACATTTATTAATCTGCATTAAGCCATATTAAAATATTGGCACTTTTTTTCTAGTTGATATTTAAAGAGGCTTTTTTGAACAAGGCAAATTTGTATACGTACAAACATAGTAGCTGTTCGCTTCTTCTTTTCATGCTTAATTTGAATAATATTATTTCAAAGATCACGGTCAAAACGATGTCAACTTTTTATTTTAAAATGAAAGGTGAGCCCGTTATGTAGCCCCATGGTCTTGGGCGATGATTCTTGGACATACAAAGTCACTCCGATCAAACGATTTATGGGTAAACACAAATGATGTAAAATAAAAACATGTTCTAAAAGATTCGCGATTATCTATTTTCGCTGTCAGTTGTTTGAGCGTTACATGATTTTGACATCAGTTCCGACAGTTGATTAATTTTAATCAATCAGCGGTGAACGATGGATTAAAGCGATTTATAAAACGGCAACAATCTGTTTTTAATATCATACTTGCTTGTATTTGTTTTTTTTTTTTTGTCTTTTGTCTAACTTAAATACATATGGCAATCATAATCACATTTTTATCTGTAGGAAGTCAAATGTGTTCATGTTTTTTGTTTTACAAACAATAGCTCCCACAACAAAGACAGATCCATTTAAAAGAATAATATCTTTGTGTGGTTTTGAATAAAATCTAAATCCTGTTACCAATCTGTTCACATGGGATCGTAGTATTCAGTGAGCAAAAGTTTTAACTTTATGGTTTTTTTTACAGCTGTTATATGACTAGGTGCTAAATGCATTCAGATTAAAAATATTTTCGAATGATTTTTTTTTGTTCATTCACAATAATTGATACATCATAAGTTTATGATTGCAGCAGTTAAATGTGCATTGTTGGTAAACTTTTTTCATTTATCTTTAAGATAACGATCGAAATGAATGCATAAAAACTGAAGGAGATGTTAATTGAACTTGAAAAACCTGGTCGGTAACCGAAGAAAATCAGGTATCATCGAACTGGTACAGAGTGGATATGCATGCATATCAATAAATTTTTGGCGCCTTATTCTAGTCGATGCGCCTTTTCTACATGATGGATTTTTGTTCTCGGTCCCGTATCGTCGATGATACGCCAATATATTGCAATTATTTGTTTTTAATAAAGAATATATGGTGGTGAGGTCTTTTGATCCATAAGGTCTGTATAACGGATCCAATTTGTCGTAAAAACCAATAAAAACCATACCCATCCGTATTGTGTACAACATGCATAATATAATTATCAACGTTTGTTGCATTTTATTTGTTCACCATCATCACATCGACTTTTTTGTTCCAGTAGTTTTATTGCTCGAACAATAAATCAATTTTACTGACGCTCTGACGCATTGATGCCAATTAGCACCATATTAAGATATGGTCGGTAGATAGCTTTAGTGCAAATTAGTTCGTATTATCGAAATCACAATGAGTGATAGAATTATAAATTAAGATTTCAACATCTACTTCAACATCGACTCAAAGAGACCCACTTTGCCATTTGATCTTTTTTAATCTTGGCCGTATTTGTTGCGTTTGACAACCATTAAACATTCCATGTGAAAGAAATACCCAATTGAGTTGAATATATATTTTCTTTAATCTGTACAATGTAAATGCTGATTGTATGGTCTAGTAAAGAAAAATAATTCGCAACAAGTGGGAGACTCGAATAGTACTAACATAGTACTAATTTACGTCAAATTTCATTAGCTAAAGTTTTAGCAAACGAAAAGAAAACATCCATCAAGAGTAGTTGAATGTGGAATGTGTTTATTTTTGTTCATCATCCGTTTTTAAGAATTTGCTACAATTGAGCATTTTATAAAGTCAATGAACTTGCTCGTTGTTTACCACAAATATACAAATTGGCATTTTTTCAACCCTATGATTATTTAATGATATAACAATTGCATCAAATTATGAATATAATCATTTTTGAAGCTGAATATTGAAACGACTCGCAGACTTTCTTTGAAAACAAAAAATAATAATAATAATAATAAAATGTAATTAAAATTCGCATGTAAATTACCAAAAAGTGTATATGCAAAAATGAATATCCAATAAGCCACATGAAAAAAGCGAACATATATTGTATTACGGTGGACACAAATAAATTTAAAAAAAAATTATTAATATTGATGAGGAGAAATTGAAAATATGACTTTTTAATGATTCAATGGTTGTGATCGGCGAAACCAAAATGATTATCACATCATTGAATTAACAGTTAATAAATATCAATGTTTTTTTTTGTAAGGAAGTTTATATATATTTTGAACGCGTAATCATATGCTTCCGATTGGTTCGATGCACCGTGTGTTGTTCAAGAGTTCGGATCAGTGTCTTAAATCAATTTGAATCTATTAATTATCACAAATTGCTACAGATAAATACTATTTAGTAGCATGTTATCATCATTAAATAATCAATTTTGTCAAACAGTATAAAAAAATCATCAAAATTATGAAACAAATGCATTTTGTGACTGATAATAAGAAAAAAGCGCATATTTTATTCTTGTGCACAAAAACTTCATGAATTTCACATATTTGCATACAATTTTACATGAAGCAATTTAGATGGGAATTGTATACATTAAAATTTGTTTGTAATGGTCCCAAAAAACAACTGAACACATCGCTTGAATGATCGTAAAAATGCCAAAACGAAATTAAACAATACATTTAGAAGTGAGAAAAAAATTGTGACCATTTTCCGTTGAACAATTAATGCAAATGTTTGAAATGTTGACGGATTGAAATTTTGTTCATCATTTCGTGGGTTTTTGTTAAGTGGCATCTTATTACGCACATGCCATACATTGGTGCACATTCTTATAAATGATGATCTCGTTTCACCATTTATTCGTACGTTGACATGAACAAGGTAACATGAAAAAAATCGAAAGTTTGGTACTTCAAGCAGACGAGTAAAAAAAACCGTTGAAAAAAAAGAGATCAACTCATTTTTGTGTATTGTTGGGCAATGTCTTCGTCGATGTACCATGATATCGGATGGTGAAACAACATACCCAAATATTATGAAATATGAAAGAAAAAAAATGTGATAGAGGAAACCAGAAAAAAATATCATTGATTTCCCGTCGGTTGATGAGTTTCTCACGCAGACAATGTTCGAATTCCCAGCCAAGGATTGTTATTTGGACGTGTCTAGAAGTGAAGCATTCCGTAGACTTAATTTCCTATTTATAAATTATGTGTTTTTCTTAACAAATAAACAATTCCAAAATCAAGAAGTAACTTAATTGAGATGCTTGTGAGCATTGTTTTATTCCCAAATAAATGTGAATTGTGTGAAAATTACACACTTTTTTTAAGGAATTAATTAAAATTTTTACTTAATAATCCAAATTAAATTCACTGAGCTTATTTCATGCATGAATGGCATTTCATTCTTATTGTGTATGTGTGTGTGTTTGTTGTGTTGACTAAGTTGAAGATGTGAAACGCAAAGAATGTTTCGTTTGTGCTTTAGTCACAATTGCTGCGCTCGTGATTTAAAATCCAATTTAAAATTTAACCGATGTGAAGCACAAAAATGATGATTTTCAACTATATTTTGCTATCATGTGATGGATATCTTTTTACCCGATTCATATTTGTGATTCGATGCAATTCAATTCATATAGCATTTGTAATGTAACAAATGTAACCCGATTGTAAAAAAAATCAATTAAAATATTTTTGTAAACATCATAGCTGCACTTCAGCATAAAACAAATGTAAATACAAGACACAAAAGCTTAACCTTGATGCATTGTTGGCCGGAGATGCTATTTTTTTCTTTATTCTTTGTATTTACTGTATTGAACGCCATAAATCAGTAATTCGCGGTCGTTGAAATGGTATGATACTTCATTTTCAATTGAAAATGCAGGCATAAAATGCATGCAAACTATGAATATTGTTCACCCCATAAATAGTGAGTATGTGTTTGTGTGTACAATCCGTTGTTGTTTTGTGTTTGTCAAACTGCACTGCACATTAAAACCGATAATAAAATCAAATGCATTTGGTCGGGAACAACATTTAAGTGGCCACAACACGGAAAATTGCAAAAAAGATACACTATGCATGAGTTAACTTGGGATTTAAACTTGAATTTTCAAACAAGTATTTTTTTGTGCGGCATATACCTCATTGACCATTACAATCATTTATTCTTCTCTTGCTTAAAATAACCAAAATGCAAACAATTGCTAATTGATGATATTATGTAAATCACCTTCTTCATAATAAATTTGTATCCGTTGACCGAATACTCCCGGTAACCATAGATTCGTTAACGTTGATAAACACAATTTTCTGATGTGATGTATTTAGTCAATTCAGCTGTGCAACCACAAAATGAAATAATGAACCTATTAACAATGTGTTTTTTTTTCTCTCGTAATTTTCACACATTCGATGTCAAAGTAATTTTTTTTTGCTCACAAAATTTGAATGCACACAATTTGCATTTAATACAACAACAACTCACCAGCTTCCTGTCTGTCTAATTTTATAAATAATCATTATGTTTCTCAAACTAGTTATTTTGCTTTCATATTTTTTTTTTTAAATTTAAAAACACATTCAACTCAAATCTAAGCTTAACATTGAGTAAACCTCAAGTTATATAAATTGTTCAGTATAAATTTCCGGGCATCGCAGTGTCATTCTCTCGTATTCTACTTCAATCATTTGTTCTTATGGAATTGTATATTGAATCAAGTTTTCCTATAAATCCATACTTGATGGTGGAATACTTCACTGAATAATTCAAAACGAAAAAAAAAGAAAGTCCACCGTGCGAATATGTACAGCAAAAGACACACACACACATACACAACTATGTCGATATGTTAGTATGTCGATTACTATATTTGGAGTTGTATTTAATGTAGATACTATCGAGTGCCGTAATTGAATAAAATCCGTCATTTATTTTCAGAGAATTTCGAAAAAATGTCCAAAAAGCCAGAAAGTTATTCGTAGTCGATTAGTAATTAAATGCAAATGAGTTCAATGTGAAAATATGAAATCGCTTAGTTTGTATAATATTTGGAATCGGTTTGCTAAAACAATTCGAATAATTCAGTAGGCCTAATTCGATGGGTAGGCACGAATTTAAAAAAATATATGGTATTTTGTGATGGTAAGCGTATGCCCGTGTTAAACACAGATGACAAAACCGTATCTCAATTCAAATCAGTTTCAGAACAAAACATTCACAACACTACCAAATTTCAAATAAAGCATCTACAAAAAGAAACTATTTAAAATTCATGTTTTCAGTTCAAAGTTTCATTAATCATTCATTTATCGTTTGTGAAGATGGCGATTTACTAGATTCTTCCATATAAAAGCATATTTCATTGATAGAAAATTATGGTGAGCGACATGATGCAGATGTTTTATTAAACAAAACAAAAAACAGTTTAATGACGAGAATCAAAAGTATGGTCAAAACTAAACAAAAATGCCAAGCTTCGTTTTTGTAGAAGTTTCTTCAACGTACAAGAAAACTGATTCAATTGGAGTAATACAAAAAAAGAAAAATATTCAATTACATTATTGAATGAATAAATTTTCATTACTTTCTATTATATTATGTACAATTGTACATAATGCATGATGTGTGTGTATATATATTTGTTTGTATGATGTTGATCGGCACTTGTATGGAGCCTAATGAAGGCACATGCACATATCATTATGAATTGGATAATAGTCGCAAAGCAATTGAAACGGTAACAAGTGGATGATTTTTAATATTTATTTCAGCTTCAATATGCGATGATGCAATACGAATGGGAACATGTTTTTTTTTCTTATTATTTTTACTCTTTATTTCGCATATTGCGTTATATTTTTAAATCTTCTTTTTCATCATTTTCATTGCAAACGGTTGCGGGTGATTTATCTCGATTTCTCACATATCAATTACGACTTAACTCACCACTCTCTTAACAAATGAACTAATTGACGGTGCTTATACTTACTTTGAATAATTTGTCTTTTTGATACCACACATCTTCTTCGTCCTCATGCACGTACGGTTGCTCCACGCTCAAGTCATCACGCGAACGCGACAGAATCTTTCGTCGTGACACCATTTTTTCTTCGTCTTCTTCTTCTTCTTCTTCTTTTTGCTCTCTGTAATATTAAAAAACATAAAATGTTCAAGTATTTATCATATTTAAATTTTAATAGCCATTCGCATCGGTGGATCAAGAAGATGAAAATACGCCTGGCTTATTTTAATCGTGGATTAAATTTAAATTCAATTAAGTTTATCAGTCAATTTTTCCCCTTTTTTTAAATATATAATATCTTAAATCAGCAGATAAATTTCTTGCTGAATCCATTACGTAAACGGTTAATGTTTACACATCGCAATCGAAGACGACAAAATGTTGTACAAATTGTGGCCCGATCATGGAGATGGACGAGCACATGCATCAATGTTATGGAAAGCGGTTGAGCGCTGCGTGACAATTTGCTCTTAACATCGTTGAAAACCATTTAAAAACAATCATCAAATTAATTTATGTGATGCATTATAATTTATCAAATTCAATAATTTCAACGTATGCCCATTCCATCTCTTTGAAGCACTGAAAAACGATGATTTTTGGTGGACAATCCATTGTAGAAGTTCCAGTGGTGCCACAGTTCTTTTACAAACGGCAATTGGTTGAACTATTGCAACAATTTCAACATGACGCATCCCACAGAGAGTAAAAATGACAAAGATAGTACGCCACTTTTGTGGCGTTATGTGTTCATTCGCCACAATTGTACGAAAATAAATGGTAAACCGTATTCGCATCGTGCACGTATTCGATTTGACGTTATTGGATATTTTTTTTTCTCACTCAATTTTAGACTTTGGTTGGATTTTCATGCGCCGTTTTGTCTTTTCGCGAGTGTACATTGTTGCTGCAGTTGAAAACAAGTAGCAAGACGAATATTGGAATGAAGAAAGTGAAAAGGCAAACGAAGCAAGATAAAATAACTTTGTAAGTTAATAAATTTTAACAAGCTCGCACGCAGTATGTCGTTGTTCACAATGCTTTTTAAAGTACACAGACAAGTGCAGACTGCATCTCGATATTGAATTGAACGGAGAATTTTTTCTTCGTACGTATAACAAAAATGTACGAAGAAGAAATTGAAATATATGGATTGTGCTACGATGAGCGAAAAGAAATTGAGCAAATTAATGAAGGCGTCCAACATGATCACTCGCTGAGCACAAATTAAATGCAAAATATTATCAATTTATCTTTGAAAAAATAAGCATTTAAATTACACGGCGGTATACCGAAACTTGATCAAGTATGTGAAACATTCGTGCTTCAAATGAACAATTGATATTCTCGCAATTTCACCATTTTCATTTAATTTGCCGCACACAATTTTTTTAGTTTTTTTAGCTGTTGTTGTACATGTGAAATATGATTGAGACCAACTTTTTCACCTCATGCATACTTGGAAAATATGTACAATATCTATTATGGGCGATTTATTACATCATAATCACTTGGATTCATACATATGGTCGGTAAATTCATTTATTAATTTAGAAAAGAAATCAAATATTTGTAGCAACATTGGCAATCAGCAAACGGCAATGTTATAATAGTCAAACATTTCAAAAAAAAAACTTAATGCAGTTGGTTATAGTTTTGATGTATTCGATGCGAATTACTATGTGGTCGGAAGCAATAATCTTGTTCATTACCGACAATATATTGAGCTGACTATTCATTTGAACCATAGAAATTCAGCGGATATTTATGTTCAGTGAAAATGAAGTTGAACATTGAAAATTAAGCACTAATCTTTAAACTTTTGATTTTTTTTTTTTTTTTTTTTGTAATTTACGCATTCTTATTCATATTTATAAAAACATTATTTGTACGTTGAAATAAACAAAAGGAATTGATTTTCTCATAGTTCCTTTCATTTTAACAATAAATAACCCAAAAAAAAAACTAAAACACTATCGCAAATCGAAATAGTACAAAGGCAATCGTGCATATTTGTTTAAAAATGAAAGCCAAAAATTAGCATATGAAATCGTTTGTAAATGAAAATTCATCCGAAATTTGATGATATGATCAAAAACCGGCTTATTATGAATACAACTTAATTTATAAGTTCTTTTTTTTGTGATTAAAATACTATTAGTAGAAAAAATCAAAGTGGATGCTAAATTCGTGCTTATTCGACGTAAGTCCATTGTGTATGGCATGAAATCTTCCGCTCGGCTTTAACAGTTCATGAGCAGTCGCATGAAATGGGCATTATTCACGGTCATCGTGACAAGACTTTGTCATCAACATAGTTTCACTTTCTATGTGATCATTGAAATCTACTTCAACGCACAAGTACAAGTACAAATGTGTTGTCATTACAATAATTGTTGGTTAATTGTTTTGTTTTCTTGTTTTTTTTTTGTTTTACATTTGATGGTGCTTTATTGGCCAACGGATTTGGTGGTCTAGCGTCAATATAAAACTTACACAGAACTGAAATGGTCTAAGCATAAAAAAGACGCGAATAAAACAATAAATAGGAGAGAAAAACGCATAAAAAAACCAAAATTCTTTTGTGTTTTTCTCGTGAGATATTAATTGAAATAGGTAATTTTGTAACCGAAAGGTGTTTGGCATTGAGCCGTCTTACATGTTTATTTGTGTACTTTTTGGTTCGCCGATCACCATATATTGCTCCTTTAATTATTAGAAAAAAGCTCAACAAACAAGTCTTAGATTCAGATTGTGTGCGTGCGTATCATGTGCGCTCTACCGAATTTATTTTCACCTTATTTCCTATTGGCATAACAATCAAATTAAATTTGGTACACCCAACACCAATTCTCATATACGTATGTATGCTCTTTCTTAGTGTGATTTTGAAGACAGAAAAAAGACACGAAAAATAACAAATATGCAAACCGTAACGTAAAATGTTGTCGCCGCTAGCAAATCAAACATTCGTATAAATATTAGCGAAATCGCACATGGCATTACATTGCATGGGTGTAAATGGCCGTGTTCGCTCACCAAATCTCTAAATCAGGTTATTAAATCCAAAAGTATCGCAGCAGTTGAATCGGTCGCACCATTTAATTGGGAAATTATTATTATGCCAAAGTGAACCGTTTTTAAATTCAATGTCAATCAAGCACGAATACATTTTTATTCCAGCCACTTTCGGAGTTTGATTGTCATAAAACCATATTTTTTCGCCGTTTCATTTGCTATGGTTTAATTGAAATGAGTTTTGTTGAATGGAAAATATGAGTCTCTAATAAGTCATTGCCAATGAACTCAAATGTTTTATGGAATTTTTGGGTAAATGGTTAGAAGGTTCTAAGTTTTGAAAAATGAAAATTAGCAAAATATTCACAATTGTGCATTGAACGTGAATTGACGAGTGACAACTGCTGACACGTAACACAAATATGAGATGTGTATTTGATGTGACAGATGGATGTAATTAATTTACCACGGGCAAGACCACGGGTGACGTTTTTAAGAAGGGCATCCATCTGATTTTCACATTAAAAAAAAAACTTCTCGATACTTCGCCCAGTCCGAATGCTTCGTTAAATACGTCCTTTTCAAATTAATAACGTATTGCCATCATATTACAAATTATTTCGAAAAACTTACACAAAAACCGAACATTTTTTTAATCTTTTTTTTACTATTTGAAGCAATTACAACAGTTTTCATTGCAGTTTATCATTTGATATAAATTTCGATATTTTTTTCCCCATTTGTATGCCATGGACCGTTTGATTAAACTAGATTTGGAATTTATGCAATTAATATTGCACTAAATAACTTCACAAGAGCTATGTACAATTTAAAAAATATTTCTGTTTTGTTATCCATTGGTAATGAACTTTGTTAATGATTTGATGACAGTTGATCTGTTCAACAGATTCTGTTGCAATTCAATTTGGGGCTACTATCTGTTGTTGTTTTTCGTTCAATAAGAGAAAAAGTAAATGATCTTAAATAAAATCGCTCAAATGGTGCACTTTTAATATATATTATATATCTTTTTTTGCAAGTAGCGTAAGTATTAGTAATTGATCAAGCATACTGTTTTTTTTATTCACTTTGGTTGCTCCAATATTAATTAAGCATCTAACGTAACCGAAGTATGTGTCTAGGCGTTTGAGTGGTACAAATGATCAAATAAGCAACCATACTTTGCGATTAAGGTGCGATTAAACTAAGAAATTTGTTGTATTTTTTTTTCTTAAACAATATTACGGCCAAGCACATGCACCTCAAATTAAACGAGTGTGATTATTTGTGTGTGTGTGTCAAAATTCCAAGTATTTGGCGCTTAATGACTTCGATCATTGTATAGTTGTTTCCCTACTCTTCGACATCGATGTAAACAAAACTTGTTTCTTTTTTTCTCGTTCGTCGTGTATTCAAAGGCAAAGTAGTAGTAATTCGTAAGGCCCAATGTGTGATTTTGTTATAGGTTTTGGTGATCGCCTATTGATAGGGTTTCGTTTCTTTAAATTAGAACGACGCACTGGCAATTATCTTGAGAAGAGGGAGAGAGGAAAATCAATAATCTGTAGCTGCAAGCACGTTGATTAAAGAAAACCTTGTTGTGTTGGATAGTTCTTTTTGGTGCGGTGAATGGGTTTAACATTGAATTATTGCAAAATGTGTTAGTTGTATATTAATAGCGCTATCGTCGTTGACACGTGCATATTACAATGATCTTTTTTTTTCTATAAACATAGAACATGTGCTGAGTGCGACACATTTTATCTAAGATTACTTTAAAATCGCTATGAAATTAAATGTAACTGCTATTGTTACAATTCATTTGATTATTCAGAAAAATTATAAATTGATGGCTTGATTGGGCTAATGTACCATTTCTATCAATCAATTCATTGAAAATTCACTATTTATTTTGTGTTCTTAAATAGTATGATTCCTTTCTTTTAACATCTCTCTCTTCCTCTCTCTCGATCTCTTTCTCTCTATCTCTATACGACTATAAATAAAGTCATAATAATAGAACCGGTTTTTGAGTTCATTATACGGTTACTTTGCTTGCGTTCTAAAATTGTTAGCCTGTAAATTACTGACACATTCATTCAA